TACATAAATTATCGAGAATTGTATTTATAGCACGTAGTAAAGAGATGCAAACGCATTTTTCAACACGTAGACTGCGCGAGATTGAGAGGAAGATGTTATCCGGCCGTGGATTATTTCCGTGCCTTTGTACGACCGCGACCCATTGACAGATACACAATGTTCGGCTACACTTGTCCATCAAAGTACAACCTCTTCATCCAAACAACCTACCAAAAATAATCAAAAACCAGATGAACCAACAACAGATTACATTTCGAAATAGATACAATAAACCATATGTAAACATACTAACTTCTATACATATAAACTATAATCAAATAAAGGGTGTCACAAAATTAACGCAAATTCAAATTTTGCATTAATTTTGGGACACCTTTTATATATTTTAATACTATAATTATAGCTAACATTAAAACAATTTAAAGTTAACCAAATCAAAATTGATTTTTTTTTTAACAGTTTATTTCTTATTAAACAATATAGAAAAATTAATATAATTTATTTAAAATTAAAAAAAAATATATAATAATTCTTTATATGTTGGTTTCAATGTCTGGAACTACCCACGTATCCTATGAGACTATTATATCATCTTCAAATTGTGTAAAAGCGCCGTTTTCGTTCGGTTTTCCTTTTAAGTTTCAGATTGAACGTGGAAGTGCGTGGTCGGTCTTACATTAAAATACGATTATACAATATATATGGATTATCTTTAGAAGAAGAAAAAACAATAAGCTAAAATAAATAATAACACGAGATGAAAGGAGAGATGCTGCATTCCGTTTATTGTTGAAACCAGGTTATAAATAGCGACGCGTGGGATTTCCCGTTTTAGACGTCTTCGTTTTCTGAAAAAAAAAAAAATATAATAATACAAGTAAAATGGAAATACAATAGATATTATAAGACATGTTTGATAATTATAGATTGAAACAGTTTAAAAATAAAAATAATTTAATTTTTTTTTTGTCAAAGTGAATAAAAATAATTTAAATTGGATGTAAATATAAATAATTTAAAGAAGATATAAATATTTTGAAATTTCTATTTATGTGTAAAATTAAATTTTCTTTCTTTAATGTTTAGAGCAAATATAATAATACAAATGTCGTAATATTACATGAGTAAAGAAATGTTAGGAGAAGAAGAAATAAAAAAGTCTGTCTAGAAGTAAAAAGAACAGTTTGTGTATATATCGAGTGATTTATTCGGTATAAGATAGAATCTTAATTCCCATTTATTCGACATATAAAAAAAAAGCACGTGCACTTCATCACGCTCAATTCTCTGGAAACATTTGCATATGTTTATTTTTAATATAATTAATACGCTATTCATTTAATACTTTAACACTTATGACCTATGCATTAATTCTATCTTATTCATCATGCATTACACTAAAACATTCCATAATTTTGTAACGGACTTAGCTTCATATTAAGTAGATTTAAGAATGTATCAATTTGTATTGTATTTATGAATCAAATTAGTTAGGTTTTCTTTTAATGTGAAATAATTTATAGTATTTTTGTTGTGTAAATATTTTGAAGTGTGAAATAAATCCAGATTTATAAGGCAAAAGTTTAATTTTTATTATCAAACAATAAAGCGTAATTTAGTGCTGGTTAGGAGAGTAGCAGGAACCACATGTGCTGTTGTAGCATATTATCTATGGTACTTTCTAAAGTTTACCCAACTCGTCGGAGCAGTACAAAGGTTGAGTAAATGGAAGCGGTTTCTCTCGTTGAAGTAGCAATCATAATCCGAATTTTTATATTTTCATTTTGCAATAAACCCAGGAGGTGATAGTTGTAAATCGAAAAGGATCAAGGATAGACGCAATACGTAGTTTAAATTGAGAGAAAAAAATAAAATAAAATAAAGAAACAAAAACTGCATCTAACTGCGCCGACATTCCTATGTAGGTGTAGCAAAACAGGCTTAGAAAACTGAAAGATCATCATAGGTTTCTGCTCTCCAGCAGATCGCATTATTGATATTATTGTTCGAGCGGGAAGGAATTTATGGTCACGGTCGTCGTTGATCATCTCGACTTATGTTGGTGTTTCTAAGAGAGTGATCGGGTTGAAGAGGAAGGGGGGTGTAGTTGTGATGCAATCGGACTTCCTGAAAACAGCCCTTTACACAGGATCGACGTGCAACAGGTTCCTAACCCACCCCGTTTCCACAAAACTTGACTAATCGCGTAATAAAAAGGGGGCGCGTTGCTCGAATCAAGCTTTTCTCGGGAAGCTCGACGATATTTCACGCTTTCTGGAAACTCGCCTCGTTACCGTGTAAACAGCGACCAAACAAACGAAATTGAATATACGAGAATTAATGCGTTTTATTCAATTGGCGACAATTAACGTAACTGTTTCTGTGTGCGTTCGAGCAATGCGTTGTTATTTATTATGTTCGTATTTGTTTGTTTTTTTTTTGTAATTATTTAGAAAAAAAAATATATATATATAAAGAAACGAAGCGAACCGTCGACAATGATGAAAATTTTCATGGAAATACCGATACATTCGAAACTGTTAATGGCGTTTTAATGGCACCGACGGCACCGTTTTTCCTTTCCCTTCCACACCGATATTATATAACTTAATCATGAATCTACTCCATTTCATCGTCGCTGCTTGCAGCGAAAACGAAAAGTTTCCATCGGGACTTTTTTTTGTTACCAGGAAATTAAAATATGCTTTACTAGAATGTTCATATACATTCAACAAAAACCATTACTTACAGAAAACAAAAATATACAATAACTACTTCCTGCTTAAGTACTTTTCCTCCAACATTACTACTAGTTTTCTATTAAATCTACTCATTAAAAACTACAAAAATAAGTTGAATTATTTCAATCCAATTGAATTTCGTTAAACAAATTTAAAGAAAATATTTAAAAAAAAACTATTATAAATTGAATTATCTAATAAATCCAATTGAATTTAGTTGAAACGAAAATATTTCTTGTTTTTATTAATTAATGTGTAATTTATTCGTTTTCTCTTTCCACATAAAAAGCAATTCCCTTGATCTGTTTGAGGCTCTAGTATTATTATTATTTTGTTCTTTTGTTAGTCATTCGTAGTTGGAAATGAACGCGTACTCCTTTGGACTCTTCCCATAAACACTCAAGGGCTAAGGGCAACGGGCGTTGTTCCGCGAAATGACTACTAAGATATTGATTGTCGGTAAACAGAAATACCTAATGGGGCAGGTATACACCACCGTTTCGGACAAATGCCACCACATACATTCCAGTTACGCAAATGACACAATCATTTTTAATAATATTTACACCCCCCGGGCTATGAAATGGTACCAACCCTCGTCTCGGAACAAACAACAGCATGATTGAAATACTCAGTTTCCTATTAATATTAATCTACAATAATCTAACAATACATATATATATATTATATACAGAAACAACAGTTTAAAAGATATTACTTTTCGGCGTATTGCAGACGAAACAAACTAATTGACGCCTATTAAATGGAATTTATACAAACCGCACACCAATGAATGTTTTAAATAAAAGAAGCGTTTGCCTGTGGCCTGCAACAATTTGCGTTGATCATTTGCGGTCTCTGTAAGCCACGAAAACAGCCCCTACCATTTCGAGCCGTTTGTCCTAGATATTAACTATTGATTTTGTTTTAAGAACTAAATACCGGCAATCTATTGATCTTCTTTTTAAACAAACCTAGACGCTCCTATATATTTAAATTATAGAGAAATCAATCAAATTGCAGTAATATTTCAACAATCTGATTGATTAAAATTGTTAATTTTATATAATTGATAATAAGTTAAGGAAACGAATAAAATCGTGCATCGTTAAAAAAGTTTGTTAATCGGCGATGATTGAAGATATTGATTGATTAATAAATTAATGTTGAACAGATAATAAACACGTTCTCGACTGACATGTCGTTATTCTACTATTCTTTGAAAGCAGTAAAGCAAAGCGCGTATACCGTTGCGGCGTTACGTAATTTATATATATATATATATATTTAAAAAGACAACATAAATAGTTTTGGTTGATAGCCGTTGGGTCAACAAAATTTTCTATCGCTTCTTTAAAACGAGTAATTATTTTCGGATTGGAGACTAATCGGATTATCCCATGAAATGCTTTAATTTCCCCCCCGAAAATATAAGAAAGATAGAAACAAAGGAAATCGGTGTGTTGTGAAGGAGAAAGTGGTTGTAATGCGGCCGGTGTTTTATGAATCATTACTTCAACGAGATTAGATTAAAGCTAATGAATAGAGAGAGGATTTGAGGAATGCGACGCGGTTTCGCCGTTAATTGGGTTAGCATCGACGGTGGTGTAAAACTCGATAAATGCACTTCCAATGACCCACTTGCCGGAAGGAAGGTTCAAGGCACTTGGGCTGCACCAGTAATTAGTCCGAATGAGTGTATAGATTTTCGCTGCGTGTGTGTGCTTGCCCAGATCGATACCCATATGGTAGGTATACGAAGCGCATATACTCTAATTGGCACGGAACAGAGGTTTCCTATGTGTACGTGTGTGTTTTTTTTTTAATCAATTTGTTTATTGCGCAAACTAAGTAACCACATCCCAGCTATTTAAATCGAAGAGTAAATTGTGTATGCGTGTAAATTGACGCATTTCTATTGACGTGGCAGATTCGGAGGCTGAGCTTCTCTCGGATTATGATGATGGGATAGATATTGATAGCTTAATCGAGGATGATCTGGAATGAATGTAGTTCTGATGCAAAGGGTGGTTGGAGGAGTTTATTTGATCCCTTTCTCTCTGCTTCGTCCCCTTTTGCCGTTCCGTTGCCGCCGCCACCGCCGCCGGCCGACGACGGTGGACGACGGTGTGAATGGCTGGCCGGCTCAGCTCCGCGTTTGTCTGCGTGTGTATATATACGTGTGTTTGTCTGTGTGGGTACGTGTGTGTCTGTATAAAAGTCGGTGTCGCGGGTAGCGCGCGAGTTTAGTCCTGCGGACGTCTCGCGGACGGTCGTCTATCTAAGAGGCAAGTGCATGTGCATATGCACTGGTGCCGGTGCTTGAGTCAAGTGCGCCCAGTGACTTAATGCCGGCTTCAGCCACTGGCTATGGGCGGTCTCCTCTTGTCTAAAACCGCGGCATGGACGTTGTTCTTCTGGTTTGTGTTGTGTTCAGTGAAGACTGTGCTCGCCGCCACCGATCTTGACTTCCTGCAGGATCTCGGCCTGGAATCTAACCTGGACGTAACCAAAGTAAGATACCACCATCCATCCATCCATCCATCCATCCCCAACAAAATCACATCTCCGATCCTGACCTACCGGATCTAAACATAGACCAGACAATCCACACACGCACGCAGATCCTAACTAATTATAAATCTGCACCAACTTCTTACCAAAGATACCTAAAATTCCAAACTCTTCCAAAAGTATCATCATTATCATCCAACATCATCATCTAAATATACTTCGCAAACTTGATTTCGATTATCTGGAATCATTATTATTCCGTCGCTTATTTTCCGCTCACCTGTTTTTAATTAATTCAACTTATTAATTAACGTATTCACGAAAACAAAATCTCATTCCACAGAATACATCATATTTGAAAATATTTTAAATTGAAACAATAAAAATATAAACTACAAAAATCATTACAAATTTATAATTAACAAAATAAAAACAATCTAAAATTGCAACAACAGAAAATTTCAATAGAAATAATAATTATATTAAAAATTTAAAAACAATTTTTTCATTTATATTACTATTATATTTAAATTAAATTATTAAAATTTTGTATAAATAAAATATTTTTTTCTTATAACTTGAATAATTACTTGAGATTTGGAAATATACAAAAAATTATCTTAATTAATTGTATTAAGAAAAAAATATATTTTATTGGTTAAAATACAGAAAATTAAATGAATCATTCATAGAAAAGATCTAAGTTGCAATTTCAACGTCCAATTAACTGCAGAAATTGGTATATGGCTTTTTCTGTTACAATTATTTCGGACGTGACTTGCAATCAAAAGTCTAATCACATACATCTAAGCAATATGTAATACGTAATAAATTTGTGTTCGTATAAAGTCAATAAATTGTTTATTTTTGTCCCATTTATAATTTTTATATTTTTAAAAAAAAGTTTGAGTTATTTATTGTGAATAAAAATTATGTCATTCGATAATAATGTAAAACATATAAGCTTATATTAATAAAATTATTAATATTAAAAAATTTAATTTTTAGATTTGTGTGTTTGATTTTCAAATAAGTCTTAAGGCTTTGTTTGGGTATTAGATAAATTGATAAAACAGATAAACGTATTTGGAATTACAACGGCTTTGAATCTCCATACAACGGGGATAAGAAGATTAAAGTCTGTAATGCGTTTCGTTTCCGTGTAAGAATTTAAATGAATTAAACACGTTTTCTAACAATACAATTTTAGTTACAAATTAATTTCAAAAACGAATTAGAAATGATTCAAACGCATTCTTACTAATTACTAAAAAAAAATAGATTCCGCGAAATCTATTTCAATGAATTCTTTCGAAATTGTTGTTTTTTTTTTTTCTCTCTCTTTAAATATTGATTTAGGCCAGTTCAATGAGGAAATCCAAGAGATTTACAACTGAAAGGTTAATCAAAAAACATGTAATAACCCAATGAACTTCAATAAAAAGGAACATTTCATCCATTCTTGCGAGCCTTATAAATATTCATCCGCGAAAGATTTATGCCACTTATTTAAATAGAAAATACTTACACACACTTCTATATTTATATATTTGAAGAGAGAAAGAGATAAATGAAGAAAAAAGATACGAAGACGTTCATAATCTGGTCGTTATCTTATTTACATAAATAAGAAATCCTCGTGGAAATAAAAATTTCAACTTTTTAAGAAAGGAATTTATTGGTCGATTCTGATTAAGAGACGAGACGAGACGCGAAAGGTGTTCCGACATTCCGTTTAACAGTTTTTCTGAGAATGAATACATTTATTTTCCTATATGAAATGTATGATTAGTTTCGTGTTGTTTCAAACTATAAGATCTAATGGTAGTTCTTTGGATGAGATTTAATTAGTCCTAATTGAAGGGTTTTTTTTTCGCAGTGAGTTTTGCAAGAAAAGCAGTTAAGGATTTTATAGAATTAAATACGCAATCAAATGTTCATTTGCGGTAATGGATGAAATTCTTGCTTGCGCCATGAAATCCATAGATTAATGATTTTCTTCAGGATTACGCTCAGTTCTTATCCATCGTCTCGTTTTATTCTCAAGCAGTTGTTGTTTTCATTACTTTTTGTTCCGTGTTGTTTTGCCCAGCCGCCAAAAGAGCACGCGATCCGAAGCGACAAAGGTTATATTTAGATTTGTCTTGGAGAGCTCTCGTCGCTTCAATGATAATATCGTGGGGGCCTTTGGATTACCGCATAAACACTGGACGTTGCCCAACTGGCCCAATTCTCTATTTAAACCTTCCCGTTCCAAGATTCCCGATTCCTTGGGCTTTGGTATGACCCTTAGGAGGAAGGGTCAATGGATATAACCTGGGTTAATGGTACCATCTCGTAACTCCGGTGGGAATCCCCGCGACACTGGAAATACCTGGAACCGGAACTGCCGCAGCAGCAACTCTCTGACTCACGGCTTCTATCCATCCATCCGAAACCTTTCAACCCAAATATTTACGGATGCATGCAAAACAGGAAACCGAAAAACTTCTTCTTTTATTAAATTTCATATTTTGTTTTGTTTTTTCCATCTCGTGCGCGTATTTATTTTTAAGCTCTTGGCGCCTATCAGGAGGGAATCATAGAGTCCAGGGAAGATTACGGCACTGACAGTATAAATAACATACGTTTCGGCACGGAAAGCCAAAACACTTAACCTCATCATTATACCACGCTTGACTTAAGACCTGTTCTTTCTCATTGTTTCAGATAAACGTCAGCCAAGACGAGTATACCAGAATGATGAATGTGTATCTAGAGCGACTTACGGATTCTCAACAATCCGACACCATTCCTAAACTTATTACCTTTAATTCAGGTTTGTATTTTTTTTTAATCTATAATCACCTAATTATAAGTTTTCTGATTAATCAAATTTTTCGCATAAAACAAATCTCATTTTAAAAATTAATGATAATGAATTCGTATCGTATCTAAACGTGTTTCAACTAAGATTTATATATAGTTCAGTGGTTTTAATCTTAGACCTATGATATATTCAAAACAAGTTTTATTTCTATATCTAAACTGTTAAGTCCTAATTATACATATTGATTAGTCATGAAATTAATATAATTGCAATTAACGTATAAATAATGCATATAAATGATTATATTAACTGCTGCTAGTTTTGACTGCATTACTAATATTAATTCTAATCAAATTGATTTAATTAGATAACCTTATCTATAGATATAGATCAATAATATTACTTAAATTGTGATTCATTGAAATAAGCTGAGTATATATTTAGTATATCATAATATGCAAGGAAAGCAATCAACATGTCGTAAATACATAGATTTAATATCTGGTTGGAGTAAATGTAGTTTGAAGAGTTTGAAGATATCTAAAATGTTGAGATTTACTCGTGAAACTCTTTAACCACTCAACGTGTCTATGGATAAATCTATCTGCGGCCAGATAAATTCCCATTTGGACAAGTATTATGTAAACAGTTATAAAGCTTTAATTTATTAGATTTGGAAATTATAATAAAATGAATGGTCTCTAGGAAACGGCGAGTTATATTTTCATAACTCACTGATTATTTTTAGTGGCTTGCACGTATTAATAAGAACGCATTTAATGTACGCTCGAAAAAGTAGGATGCTATTAATAATCTTGCGTTTATTGTGCATATAGATCCTGTCCATAGGTGCAACCTTTATCAAAATTGGATTGCCCAATGATAATTTGTTAATGGATCTTTTATAATATATGTATGAATGATTAATGGTAAGATAATCTTGATCTATGCTGTGAGACCTTGCAGCCTTGTTTTCGTAACATGCCTGTTATTATTATTATCATAATCATCATCATCATCGAGTGTACACATGGGTTTATAGTGTCGAGGGTGGAGGAGTGAGGAAATTATGAATTGATTTATGTAAATTAGAATACACGGGACAGGCAGAGTTACGTAAGATTTCGGTGAGATTAGAAAATTGCGCGCGAGATGAAATGTCGGTAAACGTATGATATGTGGAAAGGTAATTCCGCAGCAGGTCGCCTTGTGGGCCACGCTAATTGCTCAGTTTTCCTTGATTGAAATTTATAGCTCAATTAGTATTCGATGTGTCCGTAAAGCCGAACAAAAAAAAAATAATAATAAGAAGGAGAGAAAGAACAAGCATGAGAATTCCGTTCAAAATCCATCGGTAATTGCCAAATGTGGTGAGAGGTGAGACACCTGTATGCTGTATGTTTGTGTTAGATAACAGTTGCGACGATTGCCGTTCTTCCGCGGGCGACGACGTGTGTGTTTTCGGGAAAATTTGTGGATATTTTTAGTCGGGATGTTTCCTCAATAAAATTTCGCGCCTGTGATTCATCGAAAAACATATTTTCTGGTGGGAATTTATTATTAAATTCCTGTGGTGTAACCTTGCTGTACAGGAGTCTTGCAAAATCGAACAGAAGGATCAGGAATACCGCGTGCTTGTTGTTTACTCCTTGACATTCGCAGACAACCGTCTATCCGTCACTCTATTACTCGTTACGTTCGTCTATGCTTGGCTAGGATTCCTGGGACACCTGTCGACTTCATTTAGCTTTGAGGAGATGACCAGTTTAATTGCACAGGTTGCTCGACTTGCAACAATGCGATCCGTCTCGCCGAACGCGCACTCGTGTCTGTAATTGTGTGTATGTGTAGGTATTTTTGTAGATATAAAATGCGTGTGTGAGAAACCAATTACCTGAGCCTCACGCACGCATCTACTTCTTCTTCGACAACTTCTATTTATATGTGTTTTTTTTATTTCAATGTTCGAGACGGAAACTTTTTGCTCTTCTTCATTTGGTTTTCATAAACAAAGGAGATAATATATATGTTAAGGTAACCCAGTTTTAGAACGCAGAATCTATTTTCCATTTCTAGGGAATGCGGGGGAGAAAGCAGACGTGAGAGATATGCTTACGGATCGGAGAGAGAAGAAGAGAGAAGGCCGCAGGTAGATCGGAAAAAATAGCGCACCTAGTGACGTCACGGGGTTTTGCGTTGGCGGGCGTCTATCTAAAAATATGTTTTTTGGATCGAAAATAGCTTTGCATTTTTTGGATACGTGTGAACATAGGTCACCTCTCAATAAACACGCGTACGCATTCCTCGGATACTATTAAAATATTTTTATTATAAACAGCCTAATATGGTGGAGGCGGTGGAGAAGACGGCTGGTACCTAGGTTGGAACCCGGTGGTACCGTTGCACCTGCATGCGCGCCGCTCTTATGTAAACACGCGTGGCCGTTGCCCCGTCCGTTTTGCTTTGAACATCCGACATTGTGCATCACACATCTCATCCAGACGCAAATACCGATCGGCACACACCTTCCTTCAAAACAAATCCTGAGCTTTCAGGATTATAATTAAACTAGACGTAAACTATCTCCTTGCTTCAGATCACTACGTACTACCCACCCTTACTGCTGCCACTTAAGTTTTATGTAAACGATACATATCTTAAGCAAGCACCAATCTTGAATCAACAGAAGACGCAACCTTTCTGGTTGTTCTACTCACGTTGCTACCGTTTTATGTAAACTCTTAACCAGTTCATCTACGAGTAAACGAATTCCATCATTCTTCGAAGAACAACAAAAGAAGAAAACCTTGCTGTGTCGATTAGACTTAAACTATTTCCCTGTGCAAGAAAAGGCTGTACGACATTTCGCATTCGCAACCTCGCCTCTCGGAACGGGTATTTTAATTTGCCAGCCATTAAGGCTGCACTTAAGCCGCCTATTATCTCGTCCTTCTCCACAGACCCGAGCCTGAATCAATACACATCTCTCCGCAAATTGTCCCGTATTAATTCAAGAATTTTAATTCGCCTCCACTTATACTCACTCTCCTTTCATCTTTTCCCCCGGCATACCTTCAAACCTTGCCTCGTCTAGAAAGTCACCACGTCAAAACATTTTCATTTCACTTCATTTACATTTACTACTGCCGCCGTACAACTGTACCATGCATTCTTGCTCGGTCGCAACAAAAACAAGATGTTTGTTTTCTGCTCAATTTCCTCTTTTAATAGCGTGCTACACTAAATTAATACAGCCCCGAGCCTCACTTTCATCTGCAGCCCACACAGGGCTCTTCTCTAATTGATACTCCAACCACTAAATAACATGTAAGGAGTATATTCAATAAACTTATCTTAGTCAAGGTAAAGCTCGAACGTAGGCGTCCTAAGGATAAAGTTACGGATTTGGGTCATAAATATGTCTGAATCCTTCATCTTCACGGCAATCACTTTCTTTTTTTGTGCCTTCTCATGCAGTTCAAATAACATAAATCTTTGGGTCAAAGGATTTAATTGAGAAGCGCCGTGCTGCGAACAGATTGATCAGCCCACGTCCCTTCAAATCTCTATAGAATACCCATTGAACATAATATAAATAAAAAAGAAACATCAAAATTCCGTACGACCCACGCAAGGGTCATCGCTCCTAGGGCTATAGTCTCGATTATTAACGCGGATCCCTTTCCAGAAAGCATTTCTTAGAGGCTGCCAGTCGAATGACCTACGTCGCATTCCTCACCGTCTTGAGGAGATCTCGTTGTTCCCGCATTCCTCGCATTCGACACGGATGATTTGCCGCGCGCCGCACGTCGTCGGAGAGGCTTTCCGATTTGCGAGCGGAGTCCGTGGAATATAAAAAGCAAAACTTTGCCAATTTGTCATACCGAAAATTGTACTCAGTCATATTTATAAATATGACCATGTGGGTCAGAGCAGTCCCTTTCAATCTTCTTAGCGCAACACCAGCAACTGCTCGGATCGTTCCATTTCGCATCCTTATTTCTACGCCGGACATTCCAAGGAAAAAAGGTCCGTATTTATGTCCTCTGCGAATTGAGTTACGGCGCGCCGCCGATGATTTTGAGTCCATTGTATTTAAAGAGCAATAAATACCAGGTGTACCATTGTCTCGATGGATGCTGCAGCAACAGCAGCTGAAGTCGCCGAGAAAGATTCAAAGAAGAAATGAAAGTTTTACGCAACGGAAATAATTGCGATGCATTTACATGTTTATTACGGTTTAAATGAGCTCTTGCGGCTTTTCTAAATTGAAATTCCCATTCGAAAATGATAATGGGTTTTGCGTTGCTGTCGGCAAAAATAATATGCCAACCGACTCTTTCTTTTAAACGCGTTTTCCAGGTAATACTATTATACCACTCTCTTACCAAAATACATTTCATAAGAGACAGCTATTTATAATATCCATAGTTTCAAATTGATATCTGGGATAATAATGGCAAAAGTTATGAGATTAGAAAAAAAAAACAACTTTTAACATGAATCCTAATTGAAATATATGTAATAAGAAATTGATTAATAGCGCAGCTTAATGTCAGAGGTATTTTAAACTGTGTATAAGTAATGCAGGTAATTTATAATACTTTCATCATTATTTATTTGTTGTTAGCGTATAGTGTAAGATATTATTTTCTGGGAGATTTAGATATGAAACTTGTATTTCTAAATTGGGTCGTGGCGCCTATGTTTATGATCGGATCGTCGCGAATTTAGTCCAGGAAAAAGCGGAAGGGAAGCCTTCCTAAAAGTAGCGAGAAATACAAATAAACCAGGATGCCCACACGTCCTGGTCATCTGAATCACGAGGCACGGCTACGTAAAATGACTAATCCTCTATGTATACATTTCGGCAATGGAATAATACCTTCGAGAAACTGTTATGCAATCGCTGTAGGAAATGACAGCAATGATATAATAATAAGTTGTTGGGATCTTGGAAAGATATTTATTTTTTGTTTGTTTTGTTTGCTTGCAGAGAGAAAATCTTGGAGACGACGGAGGGATGACGTAACCCGTTTGCGTTTCCCGGTGAAGCCATCGACCGAGGACGTGGAGATCGAGAATGCGGAACTGCGTCTACTGACTCCACCTATACCAAATAAAAGTTCTATCCGAGTAAAAGTATATCAGGTTCTGAGCCCGCGCCGACGGAGGTTCCTCGAAGAGCGTGTGGTCTATCCATCTCAGCTGGGTCCTAAGTGGTGCGAGTTTGATGTCACGGAGGCTGTCCAAAGGTGGATGCTTGGAGATAGGAACTTGGGTTTGGAATTGGAGTGCATCGAATGCGGAGAGCTTAGGCCTATCGAGGCGGCGCTTAGTGCTCTGGTACTACCAGGAGGAAGTCGTCGTCGGCGGAGCGCCCATTACGATGAAGGCAGACGCACGGATTGTATCAGCAACGAGAGCAGGCCTAGATGCTGCCGTCACGATATGGAAGTCAGCTTCAAGAAGCTTAAGATGGACAACATCTTGGCACCGAAGAGTTACGAAGCTGGTTTCTGCAGAGGACGTTGCCCACTGAACTACAACCACGCTACGAACCACTCCCGCATCCAGAATATGGTCCACAAGTTGGACCGCAAGGCCACCCCAAGAGCTTGCTGCGCTCCATCCAAGCTGGAACCGCTGGAGATCCTCAGGGTGGACCCGCACGACGGCACCAAGCTATCCGTCGACAAGTGGGACAACATGAAAGTACTGGAGTGTGCTTGTTCCTAGTGCTCGCTTGCCAAAGAGACTAAGACATTTATATACACTATATACATTATGATTTTGTTTTATTTTTATTTTATTTTTTTTTTGTTTCGGTTTTTTTGCGGATTGTACGGGTTGACAGCATTTCTGCATATTATTTCACTGAAATATCATACCAAATGCAAACCAAAGTTTTCCTAATTGTCCTCCTATCAAAAGAAAGAAGAAAAAAAAAAGAAAAGCTAACTAAATATATATTATACATTGTCAAAAAAAATATACAAATAAATAAAGAAAACTCAACAACAGCAAAACCATCGAGCGCGTAACTTCCATCTACTTTAATTATTTAATTTATTCATTTTGTTCGTTTCGTTTAATTAGTAGAAAAAGCAAAATCATATTTCATTGGGATAATATGTCTCCTTTATTCTTTAGAATGGTCTACTGTGATACATATTTTTTTATTAATTTAATTTATATACTTGTATTTATCTAACGTATCTCTAAATAGTTTGTAGTCAAGAAAAAATACTGAATAAACTTCGTAATCTCATATCATTGTAAAAATATATAAAAAAAAAATGAAAAGGATAAAAAAAAAGAATAATATTTAATTGTATGTTTCGTATTGCGCAAGTATTATTATTATTACTACTATTATTATTACGAATATTGTACATTTCATTTAATACGAAAAATAGAAAGATAAACACTTTATTTTTATTATGTTTTCGTATCAATAAATTTGTTTTTATTTATTTAACATGACGTTGTCCAATTATTTCATTGTTCCTCCACAATTGCATTCAATCTACAACAATTACCAAATTTATGCAATACAAATTACATTATTAACCCTATTATGATTAAGCATTATGCAACGGAATAACAAAAAAAAAATAGATATTATTCTCATACGTACGTTTTTCTTCCACTTTTTTTTCCTTTTCGATCTTACGTCTCCTTCGCGTTGCGTCAGAAATCGCACTCGATTCGTCCTTGACCCGAAAACGGACACGGATCCAATTCAGGTAAGGAACCAGTCAGTCCTCATGCACACGTAACACCCTGTAAATTAAGTATCGCATTTCACTAATTTGGAAAACACCATTTTTTTTTTGATACACATTCAACGGTTTATCATAATTATTATACAAGTGTTTTTATTTATTTCCATTAATATTTTTTTGGTCTTAATGTAACTTCGAGATATGTAGGTTAATAACAGAAAAAATATATATAGAATGTTCAATTTTGTTTGATTTGATCCGAAGAAATTAAAAAAAAAAGAAAACAGACGATTTTTATTTTGGCAGTGAAGTATTCTAATTTTAACGAGGCGAGCTAAAGTTAGATGTTATAGTTAAAATTAAACATATTATAGAAATAGACCTGATTTCAATTTCACATTAATTTTGGCGTTTCCATCAATGTTTAAGCTTTTTTTTTTCATGTTTTGGTTAATTACAATAAATTACAGTTCATCAATTACATGTACATATTTAATAATTATTTGTAAGGTAATATGGTTATAAACTGTTGAAGGAAGCAACAGGTGATCATGGTTATATAAGGGTCTGTTAACGGGCTGTTTCATAGTACAACTCTAACATATAATAAATGAAACTATTTATGCGTATAATATAGAGAACAAAACAAGGTAATACATTTATGAACATGCTAAAACAAAAGGAACAATAATATAATGAACGTGAGTAAATACATAAAATCACATTGAACGGTTTTAGAGAGGACTTTAACGATTAAATAAACGCAGTTATTTATAAACGAGGAAAGCGTGGATGCATACTTTTATCAACTTCATTTATGGCCTTAAATTGTAGACGTTTCTTTATTTTTATTACTGTTTTATGATATTACGCAAACCTTCGATTTGTTTATAGCATCTAATAAACTTCTGTTTCAACAAAAAGCAACGCATAAAGTTAAATAGGAGATGAAAAATACATATATTTATAAGAACTAAAATAACTTTTCCTCCTACGTTATTACAATTACAATAGATTTCTTTTATATATTTTCTTTCAATAAAATGCTTAACGTATTAATGTTATTTTAGTATAAATTATAAAATAAATACAAATGTAGAAGCCCTTGCATATTAAACCCTGTAGCCTTTACACACAGTATTGAAACATGAAATTAGAATTTTTGGTTGTTGAGTAATACACCGTACTAGATACAATTATATAATTGCTTGCATATCAAAGCCAGCATATGTATTAATGTTTTTTTTTTTAAATATAAATTGACAATAAGTGTGGAGTAAAATAAATGAGAAATACTGGATACTCTTTAAAAAACGTGAGTCAATTTCCTTTGATGTTAATCTAGGCAATTATGTATTTTGCAAACCCCAATTTGCAATTGTAGCATGAATCATGCGTCAATCTCTTTTCGTGTATATGTTATATGTGTGTATATGCATGCATAATTATTATTTTTTTAAGTTGAGGCCAGTTCCAAAAAGGACTTAAGTCGTCATCGTGTCACCGTTTAAATTTAGAACTCTCGCTTTCTATGTGTATGCGAATAAGACTATAGGTATATTTTGGCTCGGTAATGTATTCAATTACCTATACTAATTAATCTTAATCCTGAAATCTTAGGTAAAAATAGAAGACGTGTCAGTGAAGACAAGGCATGACATCACTCGCATCGCTCACACTTCTGCAGCATGGGACGATGATGAAGAAGTGCCAGGCATGTGTGTGAGGACAAGTGGAAATCAAGCGAACTGAACCAGAATCATTAATTACGAAACAGTTAAATAATAATGTATTTATAAAACTTATCGAATGTGCCCACACGGAATGCGTCATTGCGGATCTGAAAATGAAGAGAGAACGGAGAAATAGAATTTTATAACTCGAGGGCTCAAGTGAAATAATCGATTGAATCTATCATAGTCCTAAAATTAGTCGATCTTACGAATCTTCGCAATGCAATTGCAATGGCAAAACTTTCTTATAAGTAAACAACCTGGGAGAGTGTATGAACAATATTTGTTTACTCGTTGTGCGTAACAGTGGAATGTGAATGCGGGAATCCAAAATATTTGCACCGGGATCTCCCCATTGAAAAATTTCGCACGTCACGTGGACCGTGGCGAAAATAGACGTTGCGACGGTGCACAGAAATCCTGTAGTAAAAAAGTTTCATTGAGCCAAAACACATTCTCTAGACATCATGCTTCTTTTTTACTTCTTTTCTAGAACACACGTAAAATCTTACATTTTTACGCACTTAATCACCCACACTTTATGCATTTCCATTAAGGTCGGAAACCGTTACCGATCGATTTACGACTGATCCGAGTAGTAAACATATGTTCTATTGAATAAATCCTGCACTTGATTGACTACTTTATTCCATTTAAGGATTCATCATTATACAAGTTCGATTCCCTATTGGAACTTACAACAAAAAAACAAATCTTCTATTAGATTGACACAAAATCAATTTGTTATTTATACTGATCTTCCATCATTTCTTAACCTTCAGTATAAAGTGGGTGGTCTATGATTGAAGAGAATTTTGGAAATAGCTAAGTATATTAAAAATCTTGCGTAATCAAAATTTTATAGCTCTTATATATATTATATTGTATAGGAAAATAAATCATTTGTTAACAACACTTAAATAAACGCAATCATTTGTGTTTATGGGTGATAACATTTTTATTAGTTTTCATTCAATAATAAATGTATTTTGTGCAAAGTTACAATGAATATAGGTTATAGATATAATTCCAACTATTAAGACAGATTAAATATGAAAAGCTACAAGTCTTAATATAAATAATAATAACATTTATTGTAACAAATTAGCATAATAGAAACTCAACAAAATAATATAATAAGAATGGTTAGTAATTTGCCACTAATAATAAAGCTGATAGATTAGCCACAAAATGTAGTATAATAAAATAAGTAAAGGTTTAACAATTGATTTCAATCCAGTGTAATAAAGTTGAAGGGATGGAGCAGGTAAAAATGAAGTAATTTATATACCTGAAGCCACAAAGTGTTGATTTTAAATAAATTTATGAATGTACATAGTAAAGATTTCAAGTGGTGTTAATAATTTTATTGTATTGCGGTTACATGTAAGAAAAATTAATACAATAGATTATGACATTATTCAAACTATACACTAAGGGTTTTGGTACTCCATGGAATGAATTTTTACTTTAGTGATATAAAGAATAAAGATCTAGGATATTTTGGAAAAAAATTCCTAAGATTCTTATACATGTTGGTGCAACGGAAAACTACTCTGCTAACCTACGGAATTAAAAAAAATTAATAAAATGTTAGGTTTTGTAACATTATACTTACAACGAATGGTGCCATAATATGTCTATTATGCATATCTATTTTTTATATTTAGGATCACCGTGACGGTAAGGCAGTATAACAGATTTCCTATCAACTCTCTGTTCATTGGCAGAATCGCCAAACATAAAGCTGTTGCGATGAACAACACCTTTTCAGTGTAGAACATAATAGTCAAATGGGATTCTACATAACAAATTACTGCTAAAAAAACATGACCATAGAACGGCCCTAAAATAAAAATATATCTTTGTAGATTCCAGAATTTTAAGAATAACTTTTGTGAGACTTACTTGGCGAGAGGAATAAGTTTGCTAAGACATACAAGAAGATGTATACCATTTTGGTTCCTACGACCTTTACACCACAGAAAGCAGGAGTACACTGTAATGCAATTTGACAGCGTGAAATATGCTAAGTCACGTCTAGGTAATTAATTTGCGTAGCGGAATTTGGTACTCCTGATTAGTTACAAATATTTAAGGACTTTTTCCAGATCCCACATTTCCTCGTTATCATCTTGTATAGTTTTGACCAGATTTAAGAAGATATATCCATAATACGAACTTAAAATATTTATATATTGCACGGAAAATGTTGCAATTTGACAGCAGCACAGGTATATTTATTATGTAGTGCAATCCTGTCTTCTGCCAATTCATTGGATAAGTCATCAGAGTTGCGCAGAAGTGGAAGTCAAAGTACATTTACTAAGTCTATACTATA